AACAAGCCTAGAAAAGCTCAATTCAAGGAAAATATTTAAACTCATTTTTTGAAAATTGGTTTATGTAAACCGATGAAGTGATGAAAATATATAAGAGAAGATGATTGTAAAATTTTTATTGCATGTGAAGCCAAACATATCTAGCATAAAAATTGATTATTTGATAAAATTTGAGTTAAGGTGAAGATTGTTGAGAATAGTGACTCAAATTTCATAAAAAAATTTATTTAAAATTGGCTAAATATTGCTTAATGAATAAAAAGACTTGTAGAATGAAAAATTCTACAAGAAAAAGAATTCTTAATTAGTAAATTTGTATACTTATAAATAAGTAGTTTCTATATAGTTAGATATGAGAAAAAATATAAGTTAGAAGATTTTATTGAATAAACATCTCATAAGACTACAGGAAATTGACATCTTTATGGGTGTGTATGTTTGAATGGACTAGAGAATGAAAGATTTCATATAGGTATAGTTTATGAGTGCACATAGATATGTGTTTAATTGGTTTGATAATATTTCATATGACTAAAATAAATTGAAAGGGTCTATGAATATTGATTGTGAATGTTTGATTTGATAATTGTTTATAATTTTCTACAACTAATGAATTTTTTCTAACATTCATGGATATAAACAGATTAGGCTAAATCACGTTAAATTACTATGTATTATATGATTGATTGATCTTTTGATTACTTTTCCACTGACTTGGATGATTAATTGATTGGGGCCTTTTAGCCTAACACAATTTATGTTAGTGTAAAACTAAAAAGTTTTACACCTTTTTTTAACAATTAATTTCAAAAAATTCAAAAAATGAGAGAAATAAATAAATAAAAGGTTTAATTTCATCTTTTGAATCTATTAAAATTAAAGTTAAAATATATATATAACTTTTTTATGTAAGTTAATCACTCCCCTTAAATATAATTTTTTTTTTTTTTTTTAGTTTCGGTATATATTACTAACATAACTAATTTTTACTTAAAACATTTTCCAATTCTAAATAAATATTGAATTAGTATCCCTTCATAAGGTTATAATACTAAATTCTATTTATTATCTAATATATAATGAATAACAAAATAAGTTGACAACACTTAATATAATCTGTCGTAACGATTTTGCGACCGCCCGACGAATTTGAAAACGAAATAAAAAAATAACAGAGTCGCCACCAATCTTTTTTGGCTAGGTGTGATTGGCCACCTATTAAAACATATCCTTTTAATAAAATTTTAAAATTAATTAAAATTTATTAAAAAAGATAATTTTTTGATCTGCGAAACAACTTGGGTTGGGAGTCGATTACTTGTGGGGAAGGATTAGCACCCCCACAACGCCCGTTAAAAAACGGTACCAATTAACGTGTTATCCTTTGATTTTGATAAAAATAGTCCAATTTTCGGTGTTCGAAAAAATAATTTCCTTGATTTTTTATTAGTTATTAGAAAAAAAATTATTCTCGAAAAAATAAATTAAAACATTTTTATTGAAATAATTCTTAAAATGTTCCAGTACGTTGGTAACATTAGAAGAACTTTTTCTCACCTAAAGATTTCTTAAAGCATCTCTACTCGGAATACTTTTAAAATTTCATCTTTGGAGGTCTAAATTTACTTTTCGTAAGAAATTATGTCATGCATGCCATGCAAAATATTTTCATGTTTATGCACACATTTTATTCTCATTCAAAAATTTTATTAATTATTTTATTAATTTTTTAATTTTGTAAAAAAAAATTTAATTATATTGAAGATTTTCTATAAATATTCCAATACGTTGGTAATATTTTATAAAAAATCTTCTCACTTAGGGATTTTTTAAAGCATTTCTACTCGGAATACTTTTAAAATCTCATCATTGGATTAAATTTCTTTTCTTCTCATTTTTATTACTCATATTTTTAATATATTCATCAATTTTTATTTATTATCTTTTAAAAAAAAAAAATTTTATTGTACTGAAAATTTTTTTATAAATACTCCAATACACTGATAGTATTTAAAAAAAAATTTTCACCTAGAAATTTCATAGGCATCACTACTCGAAATACCTTTGAATCTCATCGTCGGATAAAAATTTCCTTTTCCTTCATTTTTTATTACTTTAGTATTATTATTAAGTTTATTTTTATATTATTGTTTTTAAAGTTTATTTTAAAAATTAACAAAATTACAAAAAAATTCAACTACATATTTCATCTCTTAATCTAACAAACATAATTATTTTAATATGCATAAATATTAATAAAATAATATATAAAAAATTTAAAAAATTTAAAAAAAATTTTTTACCTGAATCGAACCGATTAACGCGAGGTTCGGTTCGACGGTTCGATCCGACCTGAGCGGTTCAGTACCGATTCGGTTCGATCTGGGCGATTCAGTTTCGGTCCAGTTAGACCGATCAGAGGCTGATGGAGAAACGGGTCATCGGGTCGGGTGCGTGGACCTCGAGTAGGGTTGCGGGTTGACGCGCGAATCCTTCTTGGTCTAAACGACGTCGTTTTGGGCCTTTAATGAAACGACGTCGTTTTTGTTCTGACGGTTTAAATAAAAGTTAAAAAAAAAAAATTCATTCATTTTATTCGATTTTTGTAAAAAAAATTCCTTTTTTTTCTCTTCTTCAGTCGACCTGGGGTCAGTGGCCGTCCGTCGCGACGGCTGCTGCAGTCCTTGCCGGCGACGAGCTCCGACCGTTGTTGACGGTGTCAAAAAATTTCAAAAATCTCTCACAAACTCCTCTCGACCCCCTGAACACAGATTCGACCTCCTTTTCATCAAAAAAGTCCTAAAATCCCTATATCTGCTTGGAAAGTTTTGGTGAAACTATATATTTTTGTGTTCTGACTCTTTTTTTTTTAAACTGACTCTTTTTTTTTCTTCTTCGTGCAAAAAGCTCGGCGCTGGATTCCTCTCTACAGGGAAGACTGTGTATTTTTTTTTATGTTTTTTTTAATTTTTTTTTGCAGCGTCTCTCCCTTTTCTCCTCTTCCTCTTTGGCTTCGCTAGGAGCTCTATTTATAGAGCTCCGTGTGTTTGGGGGGAAGAGCATGGGGCTCGGCACAGGTGTAAGCACGAGCCCCATGCTTCTTTTATTAGTTTTGGCTATATCTGGTAGTTTGTCAACAGGAGAATTAATTTAAGGGGTGGAAGGTAGGGTCTGGTGATCAGGAGGATGAGGTGTAGAGTTTGGTGGATCCGATGGCAGGGGTGGTGGCAGTGGTGCTGGGGATTTTAACTCATTCTACATCCATGTTAGCATATCGTTCTTTTCTTTTCCCTTTCTTCCCTGAAATTATATTTATATCTTTTTCAAAATCTCTTTTGTTTTCTCCAAAATATCTACTCACAATAAATAAGACACAAGTGGAGAAAATATTCGTGCACTTTGTTCCAAAAATCGCCTGCCGCATATCACAAAAAACACTCAAATTTTACAGTTTTCCTAATTTAACTAAACCCAAAAGTGCTCTTGCTTATGAAAGGTTGGCACTAGAGAAAGAGAGTGGTTTCTATAGGTGTTTGGTGGGATTAGCTATCTTTGAATAAAAATCAGAGTCTAGAGTTTGTTTTATGTCTCTAAAAAAGATTAGGACTGATCCAAAAGGGCAATTCAAAAATGAATTAGCTGTAAAAATCCTTTAATATGAAAAAAATACAAGGCTTTTAGGTTCTGATTGGTTTGAAGTATGAAAAGAAGAGAGAATGAAAAAATTATTTATATAATAGTTAAATTACAAAAGTTATTATTAATTTTAATCATTAGATTAACAAATTTTTTAATTTTACCTCTTTTCATTTTTTACACTAAACAAAGTAATATATCATGATTTACCTGTTTGTCGTCTGAAAGGTATTAAAGTCTTCATCTAAATTATCAGTAATATTCTTATACTCCGTTTAAGAAACTTTTAATCGAGCAAATTTTGGTAAATCTAAACTAGCCATATAATTGAAACTATAATTAGCTTATTTATTTATTCTTCAAAAAATAATTAGTTTATTTATTATTACCTGATGTGATTTTGATACTATGAAAATTATTAAAAAAAAAAAGCAGAGATTTTGAAGGAAGAACAATGGAGAAGATTGAAAAAAGGAGATGCTAGCCTGGATTCCAATTGAATCAAATTATTTAATGTGGAGCTGATATACCTCATTAAAAATATAAGTTTAAAACAACCCTATTTAGCAAATAAAGACTTTAAAATATCCTATTGTGATAAAAAAAAAAAAAAAAAAACTCAATTAGTTTTAGTTTATGTGAAGTTATTTATGGTTATGGATAAGGTTGGTAACGGATCGGGTTGAGGCGGGTTTTTGCTGTCCCGAACTCAATCCGATTTTACAATCATAAAATTCGTATTCGATTTGATTTAAATTTTTTTTTACTTTTTAATATTCGAACCTGACCTAAAATCTAATATTATTTAAATCGTATCTGATCCGATTCGACCTAAAATTAATAAAATATTATTTTTTAAAATATAAAATATTATTTTTTAAATATAAATATATAATTATATATAAATAAAAAATTAAAAAATAATTTTAATATAATATCAAATCAAGTCAAGTTTGCCTAAAACCTGAACTCGACTCAACCAGACTCGAAACTCGATTTTCAAAAGAAAAAATAATCTTATAAGATCAGGTCGGATCGAAATCCGTCAAGGTCAGATCGAAATCCGTCAAGCTCGGAGTGAGCTGTTAACCCTAATTATGGATCTCATAATTTATTTGCTTAAATTCAATAAGTAATATTTTGATGAGTTAGTATTTAACATATTGTCAATATAAATTTTTAATTTTGCAAGTAATATTAAAAAATTGACACATATCTCATTTTATTTTTAATATATATTTTTTTAAACATACCTTAAGAAAAATGTGTCATTCTCTTAACATTCTATGATATCGTGTATCGTTGGACTAAGTGATTAAGGCTCAAAAGGTTGTGAAGTTAACCAAATTTTTGCAATTTTGCAATCAAATTGATGTGAATTGATGAAGAGTGGGGTTTAGAGGATTGTGTGTACCAGGTTTACTGCAGATAGGATATAAAGGTGAACTCCAGTTTCCGCATCTTCCATTGAGGCTGTTGCATTTTGAACAGAATAGTCTAGAAAAATTATACACCACATCAAATCCCAGTCTCCAATCTTCAAGCAATTGCGGCCTTTCATTCCAGAGTTGAGAAAAAGCGCTCTGATTAACCTGAACTTGGATGGCAGTACCACAAGAGCTATTAAAGCCTTCATATTTATCCCTCTCAGTTAAATCATCCGCATAGAAAGATCGTAACCCTAGGGTGCAATTAAATTGTGGTGGGTTGCAATTGTAAAAGAATGTAAGGTTTCGATTTGTTTGAGGATAGCTCAAGAAAGGGTAGTCCAGAGTTATATTGATCGGATTTTCAAGACAAATGTGTTCCCACAAATCGTTTCTAGCAATAGTCATTGTATAAGTAGCCTGATTTAAGTAAACGAGTCGGAATTCATTCCCACCAATATCTATGACAGGCTGCTGATATCCACACTTGGTCAACCTGAACCCTTCTTGGCGACAGAGTTCAGGACGATCATCAATCCAAAATGGAAACGTGAGGTTCCCTATGTCTCCACAGTTAAATGGACTAAAACAATCCTCAAAACTTTTATCATCTTGGCAGTATGATATTGGGAGGAGGATCAAGCTGATAAAGAAGAAGGTGAAGATGGAGATGGAAGGGGTTGAAATGATCATTTGAGAAAGCACTCTTGGAGTTCTGAAGGGAGAAGAATTGGTATACGAGTTATATGTTAAACTGATTGGAAGATTATGCTGTCTCTCTAATATTAAAATGTAAATGAGTAGACTATTCTCTTTGACCAAAAAAGGGCAAAATCAGCTTGTCAGAATTTTCCATGAAAGAGAAAGCAAGAGATAGGGATAATTGTTGACTTTGACCTACACGCTGGCCGATGCATACGCAATAGACTAAAATAAACAGAGTTACATTGAATTCGTATAAAACCACCAATCGCTATGGCTCCTTTTCTAGGATGAGAAATTAGAAGCTACATCGAAATTTCATCTATTGAGAAATTTGTATGATGGAGGTTTCCTATTACCATCATGCTCTGTTTTATGCAAATCTAACAGGTTGGCATGAGAATCCAATATCTACACTATACTGGAGCAGTCAAGCAAAAATTCCAATAAATTAAACTCTATTAGGTCCGAGAGAGATGTATCCTTCACAAGCAATGCACAAGTTATCATGTGCAGTGCGACATGCTTGATTTGATTGTCCTATTTCTATCTCCAAACTACCAAATTGGCGGAGTATAAGAGATAAAATCATTATATCTAACAGTCATTATCTTGAATGACTTGTCTATTATTCTAAATTAATTGAACTTACCTATGCTTGTTTGACTAGATGTAATAGAGAAAATTTCTTGGAGAAAAACCTTGAGAAAATGTTAGGAGAACAAGCATTCATACCAGAAGCCAAACAGAATTCAGAGTAAGGATGGTCGCGGCAGAAGCATAAGAACTCAAGCGATGTATTGCCAGATCCACCTACTCCTCCTGATTTCCTGCATTCCATACATGGATTGATGTCCTTGTGATACATTACATCAAACCCCTTATTCCAAGCATCCGCTACAATGTCATTTCCGGACAAGAGTTCATCAAATTCGCTTTGATTAACTGGAACTGTAATACTGATGTTACAATCTGTGAGCGCTGAGCGGTGAATTCTTAACAATGATTCATCCAGGTAATAGGCAAGGCTGTTGCCATTGGATGTGAAGCAACTAAATCTATTTTGGGAAGGTATATCATCTTCAAGAGGGCAGCCATAAAATATACTGAGATTCCAAATAGTTGCAGCAAAATCAAAGAGGTTGTGGTTTAATGAGATATTATGGAATTGTTCAGAACAAGAATCTTCAGAGATTTCTACAGGTGCAATGCTCATCGTGCCAGGTTGACTAGTTGACTTGTGTTTCGAGGAAACAGAAGGAAAAGGTAAGGAATAACCGCGTTGATTTTGACATGCATCACGCCAGCAAGATTTAGAAGGCTTTTTTTTTTAAGATAAAATTCATAAAATTTTTTCATTGATTAAATTCAAATTATTAAATTGAAAGAATTTTTTTTTAAAGAATATTAAAAGGAGTGCTACTATTTGCACCCAACTTCTTTTTAATACACCGAAAAAATTTAACTTTTAATAAAATTACTTAAATGTCTATTAATCAATTATATTTTTTATCTTTCATATCTCATTTCGAAAATACATTTTTAAAATTTTTTTAAGGTTTTCATACATCATTAATCTTGGACTTTTTGAAATTCTTAAAAACTTTTGGATATTTATGAAAACTTTTAAAAATTTTCAGAAATTTTTTTTTAAAAATTTCAAATCGCACCAAAACATTTTAATATAAAATCTTACGAAATTAAATATAAAATCAAACAAAAAAATAGAAAGAACAAATGATTTGCTTTTGATTTTATGCTTTTTTTTTAACTTCAAATAGGTTAAATTTTCTTTCAATTTGACTTGATTGAAGTTTAAATCCTTTTGGTTTTTAATTAGGAAAAGAGAACAAATAGGATGCGAAGAAATGGAGTATTTGGAATTTTGGAAAATTTGTATTTTGGGGTTAAAGTATGTTGAATTAAAAACTGAATGTTAATAATTGTGAGCTATGATCAAAGGAAATTGGGGTGCAAATAACACCACTTTATTGAAAGAATTTGTTATATGGATAAGGGTACACAATTTGAAATAATTTAAATTTGTTTTGATGTTTTATTTAAATAGATACTTTTATTAAAATTCTATATCAAAATTTTTATCATATACAAATTTAATGCCTTAGACTTAAGTTTTATTGTGTTTGAATTTGATTGTTTAGTTATATTCTAATTTGTTAGTTAATAATTGTAACTTAATTATGATGTAATAATTAATTATTCAATTAATTATATGAATGTAATATTTTCTTATAATTGTAACATAAAAACCCTTTTACATAATTTTTTTATCTTCTCATGCTTTTTATTTTTAAGTTGGTTTTTATTTAATCAATTTTAACAAAGAATCTTATAAACTTGACTTAATAATGTCATAATGGTTTTGAAATTGTTAAATGGAATTTTCAAATCAAAATTAAAAGAAAGTCATCATCAATTTTTTTTAATTAAGTGTAATTGATTACTTAAAAAAAATTGATCATTTGAATAAAATTTAAAATTTTATTAAAATTTTTTTTGAGTCTACAAAAAATAAAATAAAAATAAAAAATATGATAGCACATAAAGAAGAATTAACCCCCCACGATGCTTCTTTTAAAAACAATACTAATTAATCATGTATTATCTTTTGTTTTGATAAAAGTGTTATTAATTTAGATATTTAAAATAATTCCCCTAATTTCATTTATTTTACAAAATCCTTTTTAAAACTTTTTTACAAAGGAGTAAAATAAAATTATTTAGTTTCAAAACATTTTTTAAATTCCCTTATATCTAGGTAAAATTTCAAAAAATATTCTTCCACTTAAAATTCTCATAATAATCCTTAAGAGTTAGCATAACATTCTTTGATAAAAAATAATTATTGAGAATTTCTCAAATGCCTAAATAAGGTCCCAAAAAATATTTTTACGTAAAATATTTGTTTTTTATTGCTAAAAATTATTTTTAAAAATTTTTATTTTATTGCTTTAATTTTATTATCAACAAATACCCTACACATAATGCAACATAGAATTGATGATCAATTAAGAATCAAATAATACCCATGAACAATCTATTCCATTCTTTTCAAATCTTTTATTTTTATATTTTTCATCATTATTTTCTCTAATAAAATATTTAAAAATGAAATAAAAATCTTTAATATCAAAAAATCCCCCCAATTATTCATTATCTAGGTGAAATCTAGAAAACTTTATTGTTAAAAAATTTTTTATAATAATCTTTTATAATAAAAATAACTTTTTTTGGTAAAAATAAACATTTAAATTTCTTTTAATATCTAAGAAAAATTTTCAAAGTTATTTTTTACTTAAAAATATTATCTTTTTTTTTAATATCCCTCCTCCTTTAAAAAAAAATCATTATTTTCCATCTCACTTTTATCATTAAAAAATAAAATGCATATATTGCAATATGAGATAAACACACAAATAATACAAATGAATAAATGATGCAAATAATAAATTTTATTTCTTATCTTTGCAAACTTCTAATTTTATTTGTTTATCATCCTTTTATTTTTTTCCTTTCAAAGAATATTTATTTATAAAAATTATAAATTTTTTGTATTTAAAAGTTTCCTTTAATTTCCTAATAATCCATAAGTGGAATTTAGAAAAATTAACCATTTATTTTTAAAATCTTAAAATAATTCTTTCAAATAGACTTAGGTGAATTTTGGATGATTGTAGCAACATTTTGGGCAGAGTGCTTGCTGCCGTTTGGGGTTTGGAGCCTTTTTTTATTAAATTACGTTGGGAGTCAGTATGGTAAAAGTGAGTCGAAAAATAGAGAGCCGAAAATGGTGTAGCAAAATGGGAAGAAGACTCGAAAAAGTGAGGGAGGTTGCCTGCCATGGCAGCCGGCCTTGCATGTTTTTTTTTTTAATTAACTTTTAACCAAAATGCAATTGGGTTTGAAAATGGATTTTGGGCCTTCAACATCAGATTTTGGGCTTTTAAGCCCACATGACTCAACTTTGTTTTACACGGGATTGGATTCGATCCATGCGAAATGAACATCACAAAATTAATCTTAAACAAAATCTATTCCAACTCATAGATAAATTCAATTAAAATGTTTGGATAGACCTAAATCAAAATATTCAAACTGAATATAAAAATCGAACAAACTCAAATAATTTCATGCTTAAAAATAAATCTTATCTTAACGCTCTTCAATATGTTGATTGATTGAATGCACTAAAAATAAAAGGCATAATTTTGCTATATTTGGTCCTATAGCATAGGAAATATTTGCACTGTAAAAATATTCATTGTAGATTTGATTAAATGTTGTGGATGATATCCTGGATTCAGCTTCTGGTTGCCTTAATTGTCAGTTCGTTGATGTCAAATATTAATTATGATGCTTAAAAATTTAATTTCATCTGTCAAATTACTTTAACGGCTGACTCAATTAAAAATATCCCATGACATTTCAATGGACCAATGAGAATTAAACATAGAAAATCAAGTCATATGTCACCAAACAAGTCATTAAAAAAATCAATATACATTCTGAAATGAGAAAATTAATTTATTGAGAGTTTTAAATTATAAGTAAATCAATGTATAAGGGTAATTAAACGTAGTGCTTAAGCATATAATAATTGTTGAATATAGTGAAAGGTTTGTCATTTTTTTCAACGAAAATATATATTTTTTAAAAGATATAAAGTACATAATTTTTTAAATTATGTATAATTGACATATTGAACAAGTTCTATATATCCATTAGTTTTGATTTTCAGTTTAATTTTTATTCAATCATTTTTAAAGAGAATATAACGAACTATGGAATTTGAATTAAGTCTTTGAAAAAACAAAAAGTGATAAAGAGAAATACATATTTTTATGTAGGCAAAGGAGACAAATGGGGAGGTGAAACTTTGAAACAAAGAAGACATATAGTCGGGATCATTTGCGAAGTATTGTTTGGAAAACTGAAAAAGACAGATTTGAAGAATTGTTTGGAAAGAGACAATAATAAAAGAAAAGGAAGTTTTTGAAATAACAAAGAAATGTAAGTCGCAAGAAACTAGTTAGTAAAACATGACCAAAAAAAAAAAAAACCAATGCAGGCATACCTGGACCATGTTCGCATTTAATCTGATGAGGACCATCACGACAGTAGCGGGCAAATGCCACCGGTAAATCTTTGTTGGATCCACATCTTCCGCCAGATTCCTTGCATTGCTTGCAATATCCATCGTATGCAAAGTATTTCATATCAAACGGCTGTACTAAAGCTTCATTCAGAGAGGCAATTCCACCCATCAGTTCATCGAAAGCCTTTTTCTCAACAGGAACTTCAACTTTTTCTCCACCACATCCATTTTCTTCGTTCTTAAAGAACATAGAAAACTTTTCACTTCCCTCCTTTTTGCAAGTGAAACTATCATCTGGCTTTCCCAGCCTTCGGCAGTCGTAAAAAAGAGTAATGTTTTGAGCGGTGTCAGAATAATTAAAAACATTATTTATCAAAAAGTCATCAGGACAAGTACTATTTAATTCCCCTCGTTTGATTGTCATCAAATCACGAGACTGATCGAGATGCACCACTTTGAATTCTTGGAAACTGATATTTATAAGAGCGGCCCGATTCTGTATGCACTTGAGCTTGTACCCTTCATAAACGAAGCCGCAATATGCAGGCCGATCAAGATAATCTGTCCAGAAAGGATATGAAACATTTCGGAGATTTCCACAATCAAATGGACCGCATGAAGTAAAATGAAGATCATCTTGGGCATAAGATACTTGAAAAAGAATTAAGAGAAGGAAGATGAAGATGATTGAGAACAGAGAGGTTGAAAGGAAGAAAAAGGAATCCATGCGTAGTGGAGGTTTGTCAAGTGAACACTTTTAAGTGAAGGGTTTATATATATAATTAAGCTAAGGAGATTAACTGATTTCGAGTGCTATCATTTTCAAAGATATAGACCACTGGGTTGGAGTTCGTTGGAAAGTTATGACACTTAGAATTTTCTACGAGATGGAAAGAAAGATACGTGGCTACTAACCTTGGTCGGCTGAAAGACTTTTGGATGTGGGTTCAAAGTGTTGTGACGGGTAACCGACGTAATTCAACAGAGTGGCTTATACGAGCCAAACAATAACATGGGGTTCAATTTTTGGACCACTTAATGTAAGCTAGAATTTTCCCCATTTTTTTTGTTTTCCCACAACTTGAATGACTTGAGGGACA